TTTTACCTTCTATTTGCATTTATTTTATGCTGCCTTTATCCCCCTGCCATAAATTTTTGTTTCTTCAGGTTCTTCTGGGATATCTTTTTCTGCTGTGCGACTTCCTCTTGCAGATTAGGAACAATTTGCTCCTTCTCAGTGAGGATCATCTCGATGTGGGCCGCGTGGGGGAAGCTCATGTGTGGGTTAATCCGCCCCTGAGCTCTGTGCGGGCCATGGTGCATCTTGGGTGCCTTGTTCACCTGAATGTGCTCAATGACCAGAGAATCTGCATCTAACCCCTTGAGTTCAGTATTACTCTGCATTTTTAAGCATGCACAACAGAAATTCAGCACTCTTTTTGGGCCACTGACCTTGTGTCCAGCCCCACTGTTTGACCTGGGCACATCCACCCACTCCACCATGATAATGACAGAATGGCGCACACTGCTTGTGTTCAGTGAGGTCCTTCAGATCCATGGTGGCTTTGGATGTGCATATCCTTGATGGCCTGGCAGTTTCACAAGTGTGCTTAAAATTAACACAAAGATTTGAACCTCTTGCTTTGCATGACTTTGTGGGGTTCTCTGGGTCAAGTGAATAGTGAACCATTTTCAAAGATCACCTCAGGCCACTTATGAGATGAGCACTGCATGAATTTTAAGCCACCAGGTCCAGGACTCAAACTGGTTGACTTTGTGGGAGTCCAGTGACATAAGCATTACACCATCCACTGATCCCCTTAGTCTTTTTCTTTCTTTCTTTTTTTTTTTTTTTTGAGAGGTTTTTGCTATAGGGCGCATGTGCTCTCCAGAAAGACAGAAACAGAGAGACAGAAAGTGAGAAATCATCCCCCAGAGGGGATGGCCACTCCCCAATCCCTTCGCCTCCATTCTCCTCTCAGGACCTCGGGCACACATGCACATGCGCCTGGTGTGAGTTTAAGCCACTGGATCCAACCGTGATCAACTACATGGGAGTCCAGCGACGTAGCCATTATGCCAACTGCTGGTCCCATCCCGTTAGTCATTATTTTTAATCATCAGTGTCAATATATACTTATGAATGTATGGTGGAACTGTCTTACAGGGAGGAGGAGACAACTCACTAGGTTTCTCCCTACTTTTTAAAAAATTGTTTATTTTATTTATTATCATTATTATTCTTTCACATGAGTTCACCAGAGAGAGACAGAGAGAGTTAAAGTGAGAAAGCAAGCCGCCAGGTCCGGGACTCAAACCGTGGTTGGCAGTGTGGAAAGTCTAGCACCTCAACCACCATGCCACCTGCCAGCCCTGTCTCCCTACTTTAGATGATTATCTTCTTCCTTTCCTGCTGTTTTTCACTGGGTTCTGCTGTCTTATAGTTTAATCGTTCCCTTATTGATGGATATTTAGATTAGGTGCATTTATTACAAAAATGATATATGATGTCATGAGAAATATACTTTTTTTAAAACATTGGTAATCAAAGAAGTTTTGTGGTGTTTTGTAGAATTATTTTATTTAACTTTATGTATGTATGTATTTATTTATTTTAGTTTGACCAGGGAGGGACAGAGTGAAAAAGAGAGAAAGTGAGAAAGCAAGCCACCAGGTCTGGGACCTGAACCACAGTTGGCCATATGGGTCCAGGGACATTTACTACTGTGCTACCTGCCGGCCCCATGAGAAATATACTTATGCATGTATGTTTCCATGCATATCCGGTTATTTGGCAGTCTTAATCTTTGGTTGTGGGTATGAGAAATATAAAAGCTGATGGTTATTGGCAAATTTGGAAAAACTATAAGGAATTTACACTTCATCAACTAAGTGTATAAAAAGCCTGCTTCCCACACTTTCCACTTTTCTTTAATCATATTTTTAAATCTTTTGCCAAATGGATAGCGGGTGAAAAGTGCAATCCTGGCTTTGTCTATATTTCCTTTCTTTCTTTCTTTCTTTCTTTCTTTCTTTCTTTCTTTCTTTCTTTCTTTCTTTCCTTCCTTCCTTCCTTCCTTCCTTCCTTCCTTCCTTCCTTCCTTCCTTCTTTCTTTCTTTCTTTCTTTCTTTCTTTCTTTCTTTCTTTCTTTCTTTCTTTCTTTCTTTTTTGAGAGGTTTTTGCTATAGGGTGTGTGCACTTGCCAGAGAGGCAGAGAGAAAGAAAATGAGAAATCACCCCCCAGGGGGGATGGACACACCACAGTCCCTTCTCCTCTCAGGATCTTGGGCACACACGCACACACACTTGCCGTGAGTTTAAGCCACTGGGTCCAGGACTTGAACCATGGTCGACTACATGGGAGTCCAGTGACACAGCCATTACTCCAACTGCTGGTCCCGGTTTTGTTTATATTTTCAAAATCAAAAGTGATTCCTGTTTGATTTTTATTTAACAGAAAACAAAGTCATCCTAAGGTTTTCATATTCTTCACCTTAAATGCTTTTCTCTGTCTCTTCTGCAGGCCAAAGCTGGGCCAAGATGGCGTCTGTGTTTCGAAGCGAGGAGATGTGTCTGTCACAACTCTTCCTCCAGGTGGAGGCTGCATACTGCTGTGTGGCCGAGCTGGGGGAGCTTGGATTGGTTCAGTTCAAAGATGTAGGTAGTTCATTCTTCCGCGGAAAGAGGAGGCTGGGGGTGGGTGGAGCAACTCTTTCACAACCCTTCTTTGTAAAAGTGAACAGAACGCATTCCGTAGGGAGAGGAGCTCTGAGCTGGAGTAAATGGAATTCCGTGCTTCTGGTCCTTCTGGCTAGGATTTACGATAAGGTTGGGCAAGTCGTTATCGAACATGTTTTCACTCCCTCCACGCCTGTCTCCTCTATAGGACGTTTCGAAGCCCCAGTGCAGTCACTCTGTGTTAAACATCATTGTATTTTCTTTCCCGTGCAGCATGTTCAGACATTGGATATATCCAGTGGGCACGTGGGTTAACACCTTGTCCTGAGGACAAACACCTGTCTTTCCTGGTTAGTCACACTGAGGACAAAAGATTCTGGAGCCCACAATTGATTTAGTACCTAGGCCTGAGTTCCAAAGTGACATTTTGTTTTTTGGGGGTTTTATTTTGCAGAGTTTTTTTTTTTTGCTATAGGGTACGTGTGCGTGAGAGAGAGACAGAGAGAGACAAAGAGACAGAAAGCGAGAAATCACCCCCCAGGGCGGATGGCCACGCCACAATCCCTTCTCCTCAATTCTCCTCTCAGGATCTTGGGCATGCACGCACACACGCCCAGCATGAGTCTTAAGCCACCGGGTCCGGGATGTGAACCACAGTTGACTACATGGGAGTCCAGTGACATAGCCATTACGCTAACTGCTGGTCCCCCAAAGTGACATTTTAAGGATAGCCTGTCTTGAGTGTGACCGCAGAGTATCATTTCCCAGGGGTGGTTTAGATTTTCACCCAGCTCTTATTGAATCCAGTTTAGCAAACCAGTCCCAGCCCCCCTGTACTTCCTCACCCAGGTCAAGGTCAAAGTTAAGCTATAGGGAAGAATCATGTCTTGTTCTTCGAATCCCTGCTTCCTAACACAGGACCTGATGTAAAGCAGGTCCTTGATGACTTTACTGGGCTGAGCTGAGGGTCACCAACACAAGGGCTGAACTTTGTCAATGACCGTGACACATGGGCGTGTGTCTTCCACGGTTTCGTTATATTCATGACTCCATGGAGGACTGCAAGCCTCCTTCGGATGACTGATGCAGCTAAGAAATCAGGAAACCTTAGATGTGGGAGGACTTTGCTTCCCTTAGAAATGAGAGGGCCGGAGCTGACGTGTTTGGGAGATTGAGTGTGGGCCAAGGTGTGTTTGGCTTGTAATGTACATGTCTTGTGTATGAAAACGTCTGTTCCTAAGACAATTCCAGCAACGTCTGACAGCGTTAAAAAGGTAATACAGGAACCAAGTGGAGCTCGTTGGCAGCTGGTTCTACTAAAGTGTGCCTTGCGTTTCTCCCCCAGTTAAACGTGAACGTGAACAGCTTCCAAAGGAAATTCGTGAATGAAGTCCGAAGGTGTGAGTCACTGGAGAGAATCCTCCGTAAGCCCATTTTTCACTTCCTATCTAAATGTGAATTGGCAAGGAGGTCAATAGTTGGGGGAACTTAACAGATGTGTCTCTATCTGTAAAACATCTTCGGATGATCCTGGAGGTAGAGAGTGGGAGTTTGGGGTAGGATCCTATCTGTAATAGATCTTTGGATGATCTTGGAGGTAGCGGGTAGGAGGTTGGAGTGGGATCCGGGTACTGTGGCAGACCTGGGAAAATTCACGCAGCTGAGCTGGCTGAAAGGCACTTGACTGGCCTGACTCGATTTCTTGTCTTTCTTTCTTTCTTTTATTTTTTTTTTTTTTCAGTTTTGCTATAGGGAATGTGCACTCGCCGGAAAGAAACAGAGAAAGGGGGAGGGAAAAGAAAAAATTAACCACAATCCCTTCCCTTCCATTCTTCTCTTGGGATTTTGGGCATGCACATGCAAGTGCCCTGTGTGTTTTCAAAGCCTATAGGCCTGGGACTCAAACCATAGTCAACCATGTGGGAGTCCAGCGCTTTAACCACAATGCTACCTATTAACCCCTTCTCTTTCTTTTTTTTAAGAGTTATTTTAACTTTATTAATATTTTCAAATTTGATCAGAGAGAGAAGGAAAGTGAGAAAGGAAGCCACCAGGTCCAGGACCTGAACCATGGTTGGCCATGTGGGAGTCTAGCCCCTTCAACCACCATGCCACCTGCTGGCCCCTCTCTCTTTTTTTTAATTGCCAGAGGTGTGTGCTCTGCTAGGGACAGAGGAGAAAGCACCCCCACTGGGGCATGGCCATGCCGCAACTCCTCCATTTCTCCCTGCTGTCAAGATTTGGGCCATGTATCCAAGCTGCAGGGTCTAGGATTTGAACCAGGGTCAGTCATGTGGCATCCGATTCCCTTAACCTGTAGGTTATGGGGCTGGCCTCAATTCCATTTCTTAGCAAGGAGAAAACAATCACTTTGCGTGCTCTGGTGTGGTTTCATCCCTAGGTTTTCTGGAAGATGAGATGAAAAATGAGGTTGTTATTCAATTTCCTGAGAAGTACCCAGCCACGCCTCTCCCCCGGGAAATGATTACCCTGGAGGTAAGTTCTACATGATGCTGGCCACCCCAGCTGACAGGAAAATGGTCTCTGGGACGTCTGAGAGCCACTCATGGATCTTTTACCCGGTTGCTGAAGGTGCCAAGACGGACGTATGTGGCTGTCTGCTTTTCAGTGTTGCTACCCCTGGAAAATCCTGGTGTGCAAGTTTTTCCTTTTTTTAAAGAGATATTTTTACTACAGGGCGCATGCGCTTGCCTGAGAGACAGAGAGGGACAGAGTGACAGAAGGTGAGAAATGGTGGATGGCCATGCCACAGTCCCTTCTCCTCCATTCTTTTAGGATTTGGGGCTTGCACGCACCTGCAGCTGGTGTGAGTTTTAATCCTCTGGATCTGGGACTTGAACCGCTGTTGATTATGTGTGTCCAGTGACGTAGCCATTACGCCATCTGCTGGTCCCTCTTTTCTAATTATCTGTCTGATGGGAAGCAGTGGTACTGGTCCCCTCTAGGTGGAACCCTCTTCTCAGACCAGCTTCTGAAAGCAACTGGGAGAAGCTAGCAGTTTCCTTAGCCAAGGTCACTGTGGCTGATAGGGCCCTCCTCTCCTTCCATTGTGTTGGGGGCGGAAGTACCTCCGATGCTCAAGGCACCTCAGAGAGAAACACACATGCTGTGCCTTCAGAAGCCTGGCAGAAAGGGAAAGGAATGGGAGGCAGGCTGTGGGAGAGGGCCTCAAGAGGGAGCCAAAGCTAGACCTTGGAGGACCTGATAAGAAATTGGGCATTTTGAGGCCAGTGGTTGTGTGGTGGTTAAAGCACTGGACTTCCACACGGTCACCTTCAGTTCAAGTACCAAATCCAGTGGCTTGAAACTCATGCTGGGCACATGTGTATGTGTGCCCAAAATCCCAGTAGGCGGATGGAGGAGAAGGGATTGCGGGGCCAAACCCCCCTAGGGGGTGATTTCTTGCTTTCCGTTTCTCTGTCTCTCCGGCAAGCACACCTGTACTACAGCAAAACAATCTCTCTCAAAAAAATGGAAGAGAAAAGAAACCGAATAATCGATCCTCAGAGGAAGACGGGCTCACAAAGTAGGTTGGGCAGGAAGAGGGCAGCTTCGCTGAACTGAGTTTTTCTACATTTGGGTGTTTTTTCTTTCTTTCAGGATAACTTAAAATTCTTGAAAGTTTTGAAGCCATTATAAATCTTGATACTCTAATAGAAATATGAGTTTGTCAGCTCTTCTAGAAAATGTTTTGGATCTGTCATATTAAAATCTGGATTTGGGGGAGAAAGTTTTTAACTCCTAGGAGTGGGACTTATCACAGATCACCAAGTTTGTTATTTTTTCTTTTTTCTTTGTCATAGGATGTGTGCACAAGCTGGAGAGACAGAGAGAAAGAGAGAGGGAAAGTGAAAAATCACCCCCCTCGGGAGGGGAGCAGATAACCACACCCCAACCCTTCTTCATTCTTCTCTTGGGATTTTGGGCTTGCATGGACACATGCCTGGTGTGTTTCTCAAGCCTCCAGGTCCAAGATTTGAACTGGCCAGTTGCCATGTTGTACCTAGCCGCCTTCATTTCATACCACTTGCTGGCCCTTATTTATTTATTTAATTTTTATTTTTTTTAATTTTTTTTCTTGAGAAGTTTTTGCTATAGGGCGCGTGTGCATGCCAGAAAGACAGAGACAGAGAGACAGAAAGTGAGAAATCATCCCCCAGGGTGGATGGCCATGCCACAATCCCTTCTCCTCCATTCTGCTCTCAGGATCTTGGGCACACACGCACATGCGCCTGGTGTGATTTCAAGCCACTGGGTCCAGGACTTGAACTGTGGTCGACTATGTGGGAGTACAGCGACATAGCCATTATGCCAACTGCTGCTCCCCTTATTTATTATTTTTTAAATTTTTATTTAAAATATGTTTTTTTTATTGCCAGAAGGCATGTGTGCTCCTGAGAGAGAGAGAGAGAGAGAGGAGAGAGAGAGAAAGAAAGAGAGGAGAGGAGAGAGAGACAGTCACCCCCCACCACCACCACCACCTACCCAGTGGTTGTGCCACAATTCTTTTTCCTCCATTTCTCTATCATTTCAGGATTTGGGGCACACACACATATTCTGCACGTTTTTCAAGCTGCCAGGGCCGGGATTTTGAACTGTGATCAGCTATGTGATATTCAGCTTGTATGTGTGGGTGCTTTACTGCACTATGGGTTAGTCCTATAATTTAATTTAATTTTTAATTTAGGCTAGAGAGTGTGTGCACTCACTGGAGAGAGAGAAACAGAAAAAGAGAGAGAGTGAGAGAAAGAGAAAGAGAGAAAGAAAGAAAGCACCTACCCATGGGGAGTGGTCATCTTATAATCCATTCTGTTTTGCCCCTTTTGGGATTTGGGGCATAGATGCACACGCACCCGGCAAGTTTTCAAGCCCTGTGGGATTCAGCTGCGTTAACCACCATGCTATGGACATAATTTTATTTTTTAGACTTCACAGTGTTTTGGCTCTGGAATTATTTCATTTATTTGCTGCTGTGTAGTGCTTTTTAAAATGATGCGTTTTATCCAGTGTACTATTGATGGACATTTGGATAAATTGTCTTTCATAATTTAAAATTATTTGATAAATCTCAGTGCTGCGTTCACAGGCTTATGTCCAGTTTAGAGTTGATTGCTTCTTCTTCTTTTTTTTTTTTTTTGAGAGGTTTTCGCTATAGGGTGCGTGTGCTCGCCAGACAGACAGAGAGAGACATAGAGACAGAAAGCGAGAAATCACCCCCCAGGGGGGATGGTCACGCCGCAATCCCTTCTCCTCCATTCTCCTCTTAGGATCTTGGGCACACACGCACATGCGCCCGGCGTGAGTTTTAAGCCACCAGGTCCGGGACGTGAACCACGGTTGACTACGTGGGAGTCCAGTGACATAGCCATTACGCTAACTGCTGGTTCCCGAGTTGATCTCTTCTATTGGGTTTTAAATTTCAATAGACACATTTTACATTTTCAAAATTTCTAAATAGTTTTTTTTTTATATCTACCTGTTTTTTCTTTTTTTAAAGAGATCTTTTTGCTATAGGATGCACATGCTCACCATATAGTCAGAGACAGAGAGATAGAAAGCAAGAAATTACTCCACAGGGGCATGGCCGTACCACTGTCTCTTCTCCATTCTCCTCTCAGGATCTTGGGCACGTATGCACATGTGCCTGGCATGAGTTTTAAGCTACCAGGCCCAGGACTCAAACCATGGTCAACTACTTGGGAATCCAGCGACATAACCACTATGCCATCTGCTGGTCCCATCTCCCTGTTGTTTTATTTAGAAATTCTTAGTTATCTTTTTAATGGAAGTAATACCTTCTTTTATCTCTTTGAACATTCTAAAGAAAAAAGAAATTTAAGGTTTTTGTCACAGGGCGCATGTGCTCACCAGAGAAAGACAGAGAAAGACAAAGTGAGGGAAAGTGAAAACCCTCCCGGGGAGGATGACCACGCTGCCATCCCTTCTCCTCCATTCTCCTCTCAGGATTTTGGGCATGCATGCACATGTGGCCAGTGTGATTTTTAAGCAGCTGGGTCCAAAGCTCAAATCATGGTTGGACATGTGGGAGTCGAGTACCTTAACCACCACACCACCTCCTGGCCCGTTTAGTGTTTTAAATAGAAGAAAGAAGTGTAATTTGATAAATGCCTTGTCTCTCTACAAAGCTACCTTTCATTCCACAGAGTATCTCTGCATTAAAAAAAAAAAACAAAACAATTACCAAAGGGTGCCTGTGCTCACCACTGATAGCGAAGGAGATGGGGAAAGCACCCTCCCTCTCATGGGGAATGGTCATGCTATAATCCCTTCTCCTCCATTTCTTCATCCTGTCGGGATTTGGGGCACACTTGCACGCATGCCTGTTGTATTTCTCAAACGACTGAAGCTGGGATTTGAACCACATGCGAGATCTGGCTCTCTTAACCATAAGGCCATGGGGACAGCTCCCTGCCACCCAGAGTATTTCTTAATTCTACTCCCCACCCTTGGTAATGAAACTCAAGAGTGTATAAATGGTTCTAGCTTATGTTCTACAATCACAGTGAGTTGTGACTGGACTGGCCACTCAGCCCTAAGTTATATAGGATGTACTGAATAGTTTGATTGCTAGTTGTGGTTAATATATAGAAGGAATGTCATTGCACTTTTTCCCCGGCTTACCTCCTTTTTCCTTCCTACACAGATGGCTCTAGAAAAACTAGAAGGAGAGTTACAGGAAGCCAACCAGAACCAGCAGGCTTTGAAGAAAAGCTTCCTTGAACTGACGGAACTCAAATATCTCCTGAAGAAAACTCAGGATTTCTTTGAGGTCATTATGTGAAGATTATTTGTTTGTTTGTTTGTTTGTTTGTTTAAATTTGCCGGAGGGCATGTATGCTCCCTGGAGAGAGACAGAGAGAGGGAGAGAGAGAAGTGAGAAAGCACCCTCTATGGGAAATGGTCACTACAAACGCAATCCGTTCTTCGAATCTCTTCCTTTTGCGTTTTTGAGCACACATGCACACGTGCCTGGTGTATTTTTTTTTTTTTTCAAACAACCAGGTCTAGAACTTGAACCATGGAATCAATTCTGTGAAATCTAGCTGTCTTGACCACTTTGCCACTGGCTGGCCTGGGGATTATTTATTAAGAGGCCTCGGCACCTCCCAATTTCTATTTCGAAAACTCACTGGCTTGCAACATGAGTACACCACTCCAGGCCATTGGTGAGGGAAGAGGACACTGGGTGGGATAGTTGTAGTGCTGGTTAAGTTGAAGATAAAAATATGATGGTGCTGTTAAAAAGTATGTGCTCAGAACAGCCCAGACCAAAGGCAAAGTCAGAACAAAGCAGAGCAGATCGAGGCTTTGGGTTGGAAGAGGACAGGGAAGCCTTTTGATCTGGCAAGGAACACTCTGCTTTGAATTCTGTGAACTGTTTGTGGAAAATTAAATCTTCACTGAAGTCAGACCAAACCTTGAGATGTGGGGTGCTCTACAATCACTCTAAATATATTTACAGAACGTAAGTGGTGCTTTGAATTTCAGACGGAAACCAACTTAGCTGATGATTTCTTCACTGAAGACACCTCCGGTCTCCTGGAATTGAGGACTGTGCCTGCCTACATGACTGGAAAGCTGGGGTCCGTGTGAATATGTGTCCCTAAAGTGTGGTAGATGGGTCTCTCCTCTTAGCTCAGTGCCTGGTGGTGATAGATCTTCATGCGTGTTTGAATGAATGGTTGGATGAACAAACAGCCACTAGAATGGAAACTGACTCCACACAGGAGAAACCCCAAGTATGACCTGATTAGATTGGTGGAGTTTGAGGCAGTGTCACCTTCTTGTTAATGGTGATATGAACATTCCTGGTCCAAAAAATGCACTGTTTTTATCGTTCCCATGTGAGAAAGCTATGGGATTAATCATTTAGAGGGGCTTTCTCAACTCCAAATTAATCATTCTCATGATTAAAAAAACTTCAGAGTATTAAAGAAAGTAGAAAGTCTAAAGAGCCTTGGGCACGTTGGGGCTGGGATGTGGGGTGGCCTCGTGACATCTGTCATTAGAGTTTTGTCAAGATGCTTTCTGCTCAAAGGGGAAAGTGGTCCATGGCTGCCCATGTTCATTTCCTGCAGAGCTTTCTCTCTGTACCCCAGCCTCTGTGCCTCAGTGATGCCTTCTCTTCTGACTATGTAGGTTCACAGCTGGTGTGATAAACAGGGAGAGGATGGCCTCCTTTGAGAGGTTGCTGTGGCGCGTTTGCCGAGGAAACATCTACTTGAAGTTCAGTGAGATGGATACACCCCTGGAGGATCCTGTCACGGTGGGAATCTCAGGCTGTAGGAGCCTCTCTGAAATGCCCTGTGATCCCCATCAGACCAGTTTCATTCTCTAAACATCGAGTTTGTAGTTCAGTGAAACTAATAACTATCTCCTTTATCCTTTCCTTTTTCTTTGAAAAAAAAAAAATCTTTGTAACTTTGAAAGGTCAATTCAAGGACTCTTTCATGTTAACATCTCCTAACTGGTTTGTTCCTCCAAACAACTTAGCTATGCTTGTTTCTGAAAACTTTGCTGTACTAGTGCCTCATGAGGCATGTGTTAATTAAAAATTAAAAAAAAGAAAAGAAAACAAAGAACTGATTTAGGTTTCTTTCTCTCTCTCTTTTCTTTTCTTTCTTTTCTTTCTAAAGATTTTATTTAACTTTACTTAAATTTGACCAGAGAGGGAGGGAGGGAGAGACAGAAAGTAAGAAGGCAAGCTGCCAGGTCCAGGACTCAAACCATGGTCAGCCATATGTGAGTCCAGTGCCCTTAACTACTATGCCACCTGCTGGCCCCAGATTTAGGTCAGTTTCTTAAGCTTCATGGTGTACGTGAACATAGACGTCACCTGAAAAATGCAGGTTGATTCAGTGGGTCTGAGGTAGGGCCTGGGGTGCTGCAGTTCTCGCAGCCTCCCGGGTGATGCTGTTGACATAGTCGCTATCAAACCACGTACTTCAAACGACAGGGACTTCGAGGGGCACGTTCCTGAGGGCTGCACATTTATTGCTGTTAATTCATAGGGTATTGCTTCCTCTGCTTCCAGTTAGTTTTTAAATCCACTTCCTCTTTAATCCCAAGAAGCTGGGCTTATTTCTGAGCATCTATAGTCTTTTCCAAATTAGAGACTGAAATACATTAATGTTTTATTTATTTATTTATGAAACAATTTCTTAAAATAAATGAAATTTAAAATGAGAAGAAATCTTACTTAAAAACAGTAAAGCCTCGCCACTCTAGTATATTCATTTTAATTTTTCCCCTTGTACAATTTTTCTCTAGCCCATAGCCCTGGGCAGATATAAATTTATGTGGTTATGGTTTACACAGACCTGATTTGTTTCCTTTATTTTAGATAATGTAATCCTCTCATATTACTATGTGTTTTATAAAGGTTATTTTACAGTTTACATCAAGGGGCTGGCAGGTAGCATGGTGGCTAGAGGCGCTGGATTCCCACGTGGCCAGCCACGGTTCTAGTTTCGGACCTGGCAGCATGCTTACCTGCTTTCCCTTTCTCTCTCTCTGTCTCTGGTCAAATTAAATAATAATAACAACTGGAATTAAATAAATAAGTAGTTCTTTTAAAAAACTGACATCAAATTACCACTTTCAATAATCGTGTGTTGACAGTTAATAGTCTTACTGGTGAAGAATATAAAGCAAGCGTCTGGCAAACCATAACTGTTGATGTCAAAAGTCACCAAATGGATGCCACCAGGTCAGAGCAGATCCCGGGTTGATAGATCAGGACACAAAAGGACCTGCGAGATCCAGACAAGGACCAGGGTGGTCTCTGTGAGAAGAAACCTTCAGAAATAAAGCAGGCAGTCTGAAAAGCCTAAAACAGCCCTGCCCTGCTCCCGTGAACACCTGCTGAAGAAAGCATTCATTTTGGTATTATTGTACTGGGTGCCGATATGTCCATCGAGCTGGTCTGACGTTGTGTAGTTTTGGACATGTTGCTTCCAGTTTTTCTCCAGAAGGTACACCCTGATGAGCCACTGTATGCATGTGGATGTTATTTTCTTTTGACTTGAGTAATACAAGTTGAAAGAAAAGAGGATTGCTGGCTTAAATTACTTAAATTACTTCATAATACAAATTCAAGGCAAAAAGGATTGCTGGCTTAAGGGGTGTGGGCATTTTCAAATAGCTTTTCAGTGGGATTGGATCTGATTTGGGTGCTGTGATCTGATCCAGTGTGGTGAGTGTCGCGTAATTTTATCTTCACCCCCTTAAGCTAAAGAGGTAGAGATCACGTGGCTTTCATTCATATTTCTTTGCTTACAGTGAGAGTTAAACATTTTCATATATGCTTTGGAACATAGTCTTCCTTCCTTGTGAATTGTCCAACTTGGCCATGACAAGTGCAATTTAAACAGCATTCCATTTTTTAAAATTATCTAATTTCATTTGTTATAATTATTTTTTTAAATTTGACCAGAGACAGAGAGAGGGAAAGGGAAAGTAAGAAAGCAAGGCAGCAGGTCTAGGACTTGGATTACAATTGACTTTGTCCATGTGGAAGTTCAGTGCCTGAACCACCACATTACCTGCCAGCTCCTTAAATAGCATTCTTATGGATGCACAATGAATAACTATGCCAGTCAAAAATTAGACCTGGTTTTGGGGCCAGCAGGTGGCATGGTGATTAAGGTGCTGGATTCTCACATGACTGACCATAGTTTGAGTCCTGGACTGGCGTCTTGCTTTCTCACTCTCTCTTTCTCTGGTGAGTGCTTGTGTACTAGAGCAAATTTTAAAGAATACTACTAATAAGTAAAATTAAATGAATAATTCTTTAAAAATTTAGACCTGGGGACCAGCAGGTGGCATGGTGGTTAAGGTGCTGGATACTCTCACATGGTCCACTATGGTTTGAGTCCTGGACCTGGTGGCTTTCTCACTTTTCTTCTCTCTCTCTCTCTCTGTGTATGGTGTCTTTCTTTGGTCGAATTAAAATAAATGAACAAATGAAATGAAATAATTTAAAAAAATTTAGACCTGGCTTTACATGTAATATCTAACACCCACGCAGCCCTGAATATAGATGTGGTGTGTGGGTTAACTCTGTGGAGCCAAGACAGCTATTTCCATTTTGGTCCTTTTAATATCCTAGAAAGACCATCTAGATATTTTCGTTTATTTTCACAAATCTAAAGTATAAGACTTACAGCTGGGTAGAAGGCCAGTCGTGGTCCAGTTCAAGCTGCAAATAGCGAGGCCGTCACATCACGGCAAGGCGGCATCGGCCCGCTTGCCTCATTGGCCTCGCCCCCAGCTGTGAGCTCTGAACTCACACAAACGGAGAAAACTGATGTTTTCCAGTTTTAAGTTGACAACTTTTCTTAAGCCTAAAAATAGGACTTTACATTCCTCTCTATTATGTTCTAACCAGAAAGATCCCTTCTCCTGCCTTCATAAAATTATTCTGATTTCCCAGAAAGAAGAGCTTAAGAAGAATATATTCATCATATTTTATCAAGGAGAGCAGCTCAGGAAGAAAATTGAGAAGATCTGTGATGGGTAAGAGACAGTTAATGACTCATCAGTGGTTTGGGTCAGGATTAGCAAAGAGAGCTGCAGTGTAAAAGACACGTGACAGGCTTCTTTGAGGCCTTAGAATAACTTTTCTGGTGGTGAGGGGGTTAAGGCTCTGGATTCCCACATGGCCAACCATGGTTCAAGTCCTGGACCTCGCAACTTGAAAATCACACTGAGTGCATGTGCATGCACACCCCAAACTCAGGAGGATGATGGAGGAAAAAGGATTGTGGTGTGGCCATGCCCTCTTGGAGTGGGGGTGATTTCTCTCTTTTCTTCTCACTGTCTCTGTCTCTCTCCAGCAAGCTCATGTACCTTATGGCAAACACCTAAAATAAATAAATACGTAAATAAAAATAACTTTTTAAATTTGATAACATGGTGTTAAAAAGGCAACTGATTTTTATGAGGCCAGCAAGTGGCGTGGTGGTTAAAGGTGCCAGAGTCCCACATGGCTAACCACTGTTCGAGTCTCTGACCTGGTGGCTTGCTTTCTCACTTTCCCTCTCTCTCTTGTTCTGTCTCTCTCTGATCAAACTGGAAAAATGAATAATAAATAAACAAAATAATTCTTTGGAAAAGAAAAGGCAACTGACTTTTAGTGGGGATATGAACATAGAGAACTTAAATAAGGAAAACTGAAAGGCAACTAAGGAGCTAAATGGTGACACAGCAGTATAATGCAATGCTCTGTGAGGCAGTCTTACAAAGAAAGGTTCCTAGTTCAAATCTGAGGACCTCTCAGAATACATTGGTCACATGCTTGCCCATTATCGGGGCTGGCTGGGGGGTGGAGGTAGTTCGTGGCATTGAGACCCTGTTGGGGATGCTGTTTCTTTCTCGCTCACTTGCTCACTCATGAAGAAATAAATAAGTAAACTTTAAAAATAGTTAAGTCGTGGGAATGACTTAAGTGCGGGTAACTAAAAATAGACATGTGAACCATTTCAGTTTATTCCTCCTTACATTATTTTTTTAAATGAATTCATTCATTTTAATTGGGCCAGAGAGGGAAGAGGGAGGGTAAAAGAGAGAGAGAAAGTAAGAAAGCAAGCCCCCAGGTCTGGGACTCGAACCACTATCAGCCACCATACCACCTACCAGCCCCCTGACATTCTTTATTAGCTGCTAAAGAGTAGGCCAACTGGGGATCAGCAGACGGTGTAATTGTTATGTCACTGGACTTCCATGTAGTCGATCATGGTTTGAGTCCTGGACCCGGTGACTTAAAACTCACACCAGGCACATGTGTACGTGTGCTCAAAAAGAGTCCATTCTAATTTTACAGAATCATCTTATACATACCCCTTAGAAGCAGAACTTACTCAGGACAGAAGGACCTTAATACCTAAATAGATTCTGGAGCGAAGAGATAAGTCAAGCCTGTAGTCTGATTAAACAGGCTTTCTGCCCTGAAAGAAGCTCTTTCATGTAAGAGAACCGCAGTTCAGTTCATGGTGTGAGGGAATCCTTAGGACCGGACACATTTGTCAGTTGGGTTCTTCTAAAAGGGTGACCCTTTACCCAAAGTCAGCAACTGATGGATGGCTTAGCAGAACAGGGGTTGCAGAATGCTCTTCAGCAATAACCCCGTGTGTCCTTTGAAATGCACTAAACACAGGTTTCGAGCCACCATATACCCCTGCCCAGAGGCTGCGGCCGAGCGCAGAGAGATGTTGGCCGGTGTCAACGTGAGGCTGGAGGATTTAATCACGGTGAGTGGGGCATTCGGGTTCCTGACTGGATGGGGCTGCAGATGGGCTGCCTCTGCCATCTCTGTATTAGGCCTGTGCCCCAGGGTCCTGTGGGAAGGCTGGCTAGAATCTCTGCTCTGTTCTTCTGGCTGTGGCTGTGGAAGATTTCACGATTAGAAAACAGTATTCGATAAGCAAGAGGTGATGATGCTGCACGTCAGCAATGCTTAGAACTGACCACAGCCGTAGCCAGCCTGCAGGCGGCCACCCCTGCCTGATAAAAGGAGCCTTTTATTGCTACCGTCGGCCTAAACCGAATCCATGAAACGACTAACCAGCCGATTAAGCCAAACAACCAGGTTGACTGATTCTGTTCCCACTGAATTGCCTGGTTCTTTGAGTCAACCAATGAATTCCGTAAAAACAGTGAGTCCTAATTCCACCATGTGAACATTCATTCAGCCCAAATTAATTTCCTTTGTAAAATCCATCATCAGCCGGAGTAACACTCACCACCTTAGTGACAGAACTCTCTTTAATCACAGCAGCTTTGAAAGTAATCTCTGAACCAGCTGGACCTCTATCGGATACTGCATTCTTTTATTTTTTAAATTTTCTTTAATTGTTTTATTTATCTTTATCCATTTATTTCTTTATTTATTTTTATTTGACCATAGAGTGAGAGAGAGAGAGTGAGAGAGACATTGAGAAAGCAAGCCACCAGGTCTGGGACTCAACCTAAGGTCGGCTATGTGCGAGTTCAGCACATTTAACCGCCATACTACTTGCCGGCCCCCAGATAGTGCATTCTTTTTTTTTTTTGGAGAGGTTTTTGCTATAGGGCGCGTGCACTCACCAGAGAGAGAGAGACAGAAAGCAAGAAATCACCCCCCAGGGTGGATGGCCACGCCACAATCCCTTCTCCTCCTTTCTCCTATCAGGATCTTGGGCACGCACGCACAGGCGCCCGGTGTGAGTTTTAAGCTACCGGGTCTGGAATGCGCACCACAGTCGACCACATGGGAGTCCAGCGACATAGCCATTACGCTAACTGCTGGTCCCAACGGATAGCGCATTCTTGATTAATGGGCACCCTCTGAAAGAACTTCTGTGGTGACTGAAATGGAATGTAGTCTGTACTGTCCAAAGTCGTGGCTATGAGCTCCATGGAGGCACTGAGCCTGGACATCTTGGCTCAAGTTCCAGTGCCTCCAAGGAACTGAATTCTTGTTTTTATTTCATTCTAATTCATGTTAGTAGTTGTATGTGACTACTATATAGAGATCAGGACAGTTTTAGTCCTAAATAAGGGTATCTAGAAGTAGACGTGAGTGAATTTCAAAATCCTTAGGATAGCAGACACTTTTTTTTAAACTTTATTGACTTTTTTTTTTTTTTTTGAGCTGTTTTTGCTATAGGGACTGTGCGCTTGCCAGAGGAGACAGAGAGACAGAAAGCGAGAAATCACCTCTTATGGGGATGGCCACGCCACAGTCTCTTCTCCTCCATTCTCCTCTCAGGATCTTGAGCACACACACACGCACCCCGCGTGAGTTTAAGTCACCGGGTCTGCGACTCGAAACACAGTCGACAACATGAGAGTCCAGCAACATAGCCATTACACCAATTGCTAGCCCCAGGATGAACTTTATTCTTTTTAAAGAACTATTTTATTTAACTTTATTTACTTATTTCAATTTTACCAGAGAAGGACAGAGTGAGAGAGTAAGGTGGGGGAGGAAGTGAGAAAGCAAGTCGCCTGGTCTAGGACTCAAACCATGATTGGCCGCATGGAAGTCCAGTGCCTTTAACTACCTCTGTTGGCCCCGTGAGCTGTTTTTTGAGAATTATTTATTTAATTCTATTAACTAGGACATCAGGGAAAATCATGGTGTATTTTCTATGCAAAATGCATCATGACTTTCCCTGAAGGCCCATTATTATTATTATTATTATTATTATTATTTTAATTTGCTATTGGGCATGTATGCTCACCAGAGAGAGAGGGGGAACATGAGAAGGCAAGCCACCAGGCGTGGGACTTGAACCACAGTCAGCCATGTGGAAGTTCAGCACTCCCACTACCACTCCATCTGCTGGCCCCAGATAAGCTTTGTGTTAAGGTTTCTGAAAGTTTTATCTGTGCAGAGGTGGCTTTATCTCCTGGCAATGTCTGGACCAGGTACTTTCCTGCTAAGTGACATGTGGTGGTGTCCTCTTAAGACATTTAAGTGGGACCATGGTTACATTAGTCTTACTGCCATGGTACAGCATGTATGGTAGACCAGTTGCCATTTGTAAAGGTTACTGGAAAAGACTGCTGCATTTGTTGCATCAACACATAAAACTACTTCTATTACGGGACCAGCAGATGGCATAAATGTTACATCACTGGAATCCCACATAGTTGATCGTGGTTCAAATCCCAGACCTTACAGCTTAAAATTCACACTGGGCACATGTACATGTGTACCCAAGATTCTGAGAGGAGAAAAGAGGAGAAGAGATTGCAACGTGGCCACCCCCGCCCTGAGGTGGGTGATTTCTGTCTCTCTGTCTCTCTGGTAAGTGCATGTGCCCTATAGCAAAAACATCTCTTAAAAAACAAACAAACAAACAAACAAAAACTAATTCCATTAAATAAATTCAATGTGAGCCAAGTTGTTCATCTGTCTCTTCATATGTTAATCTGCTTGTCATTTATTAGAGGGGTTATTAGGGAAGGTATTTAGATAGGTATATTCATAACAAGCTACCACACAGTGGTAGCTTAAAACAACACAGACTTACTCTCTCCCCGTTCTGGAAGATAAAAGTCTGAAGTCAAGGTGGCCGTGGGGCTGTCAGTGCTTCTGAAGGTGCAAAGGGAGGATCCTTCCTTGGCCCTCCTGACCTCTGGTGGCTATCGTGACCTTGGCCTTTCTTAGGCTGCAGGTGCAGCTCTCTGCTCATGGCCCACGTCACACACAGTTTCCTTCCCTATGTGCCTCGATGCCCAGACTTTAATTTATTTATTTTTTGGCCATAGGACAGAAGAGTCACAATAGGGCATGTGTGCTCTATTATAGTGAGGGAAAGTGAGAAATCACTTCCCAGGGGGCATGACCATGCCACAATCCCTTCTCCTCCATTCTCCTCTCGGGATCTTGGGCACGCACGCACACGCGCCCGGCGTGAGTTTTAAGCCACCAGGTCTGGGACTCTAATCGTAGCTGGCCATGTGGGAGTCTAGCACCTTGACCACTATGCCACCTACTGGCCCCTGTTCAGATATTTTATGAAGATCCCAGTCATATTGGATTAGAGCCCGTCCTAACCCAGTATGAGCTCATCTTCATTTGATGACGTCTGCAAAGACCCTCTGAGGTCATAGTCCTGAGGGAAGCTGGATTAGGGCTTCATCACATCTCTTTTGGGGACATAATTAGACCCATGAATTAGAGCCATCCAGAATTTAGAAGAAAGGAAGCTCTGATCTTTGCTTAAGGATAGAGGAGCTGACTGCTCATGTGGGATAAGGGCCAGCTGAGAGCTGCAAGTCAGAGCAGGGAGCCCGGGCAGGGGAAGCCACCATGACTGAAGGACTCCATTCTTGCCTGGCTGTCCAGCACCCCCGTGACCATCCCTGGTTTTCCCGTGTGTTGTTTCTCGCCCAGGTCATTACACAAACAGATTCTCACCGTCAGCACCTGCTGCAGGAAGCGGCTGCCAACTGGCACTCCTGGGTCATCAAAGTGCAGAAGATGAAGGCCATTTACCACATCCTAAACATGTGCAACATCGACGTCACCCAGCAGTGCGTCATCGCGGAGATCTGGTTCCCAGTGGCAGACACTGGGCGCATCAAGAGGGCGTTAGAGCAAGGCGTGGTGAGTGACAGGTGGAGCCAGAGAGCGGACAAGATGAGGGCACAAGCAGCCTCATCTGCTCCTCTGCAGGGGTCTTGGGGGTTGTCAGTCTCCTAAGTCACATGAACTTCGCAAGTGACTTGGCGGTAAGATTGTCACCTTCATCTTTGTACTTTCAGTTCTTTTAAAAAATTTTTCCTTAAATTCATGAGAGGGCACATGCACATGCAGGAGAGAGAGATGGAGCTGGCATCCTTAAGGGGATCTCCTCACAATGAGACTTCAGACTCAGGAGGATCTTGGGTACCTTATGTGGTTTTATTTTTTTGGGAGAGGTTTTTGCTATAGGGCATGTGTGCTTGCCAGACAGAGAGACAGAAAGCGAGAAATCACCCTCCATGGGGGATGGTCACGCCGTAATCCCTTCTCCTCCATTCTTCTCTTGGATCTTGGGCACGCACGCACGCACGCACACACGCCCAGCGTGAGTTTTAAACCACCAGGTCTGGGACTCGAACTGTGGTCGACTACATGGGAGTCCAGCGACATAGTCATCATGCTAACTGCTGGTGTCTGGCACCTTATGTGTTTGAGGTCTCAGGAATCCGAGCCTGAGGACAGCCATGTGGCTCCCTGCACTGCAGTTCAGTACACTACTGCCTGAGTCTGAGGCTGGGCGTTGTGTAAAAATGTATTCATTTATTTATTCCACCAGAGAAAGACTCAGGCACCCCAGCAGGGTCTTCACTCTCTGGTGCATCTCCAGTCTCAGCAGGTCCAGATCCTGTGTGTACAGGTGTACACACGTACCAGAGTGCTCACAGAGGGCCCAGGCTTGCATCCTAGGCTCTCTCCCACATGAGTGCACTTGCTTACTGTGCACCAGCTGGTGCCTGGACCTTCAGTTCTCAGCCCAGTGCTAGGGCATATGAAATATACCCCTCTCCCGCCCCGTTTTTTTCATGTTTCACAACTATTCAATATTTCTTTGATGTTTAATTATTTTTTAGGGAGATTTTTGCTATAGGGTACATGCACTTGCTGGAGAGACAGAGAGACAGAAGATGAGAAATCATCTTCCATAGGGGATGACCATACCACAATTCCTTCTCCTCCATTTTCCTCTTGGGATTTTGGGGATGCATGCACACGTGTCTGGCGTGAGTTTTAAGCTGCCAGATCCAGGACTCGAACCACTGTCGACTGTGGGGGAGTTCAGCAACGTAACCATTACACCATCTGCTGGTCCCCTTTAATGAATATTTTTGTGTGAGTCACTCACCATGTAGAGCTGTAGATACCCCAGTCCCACTGTAGACCGTCTGTTACCTTACAGAGGTTAGAGTCTAGTTGGGAAGACAAATAGCCATGCACCTATAAGGGTAACTAAAATAAATAGCTTGCTCTGTGTGCCAGCAACTTGATACCTTATTTAACCCTCACCACACTGTCTTCATCTGTCTCGTAGACATTCTCTCTGCCATACCTTAAATAAGGTTCATACCTTATTTAACCCTCACCACTGTCTTCATCTGTCTCGTAGACATTCTCTGTGTGCCAAAAACTGATCTCAGGTCACACTGGCAGACCAAGGCCCTGCCCTGAGAGATTCTAGAAAGGGAAACAGACAGTAAGTGTGGCTGTGACAAATGTGAGTTTAGGCAGTCATGAGTGGGGGCAAAGAATCAAGCTGGGGGTGGCTGGTTCAGATCCCCCATTCATCATGTTGACGAAGGAGAGATCCTCCTACCCTAAAGAGCACAAATGGCTGGACATGTCACACCTGACTCTGGACAGATGAGGTTGACAGCTCTTCTGTAGTCACATATACTCAGCCCAGAGAAAGAGGACACCACATGCCATGCAGGGCCTCCGGGTTGCACTTGGGACTTGCCCTTGGGAGCAGAGAGGACTGGCAGGGCCTATGGGAGGCAAGGTGTGTAGTGAGAAGGGGGCGGGGCGCCCTTTGCTTCCTGAGGGAGAATGTGACTAGCTTACTTGAATAACGTCCTGGCAGGGAGGTGAGGCCGTTAGTTTGAGGACTGGGTGGTGTGCAGCTGGCTGGCTGCTGGTGGAACTAGCTGGGTGGGAACCTTTCCTACGAGGTGGGTGGCATATCTAGTGAGGCATAAACTCATAGGATCTATCGCCAGAGAAGGCCCCTCTGAGCATGGGACATCAGAGCAGACTGCTCCAAATGCCGTGGAAGACTGGGGGGAGGGGAGGGGCTTTCCAGTTGAGAGGTCTGAAGCTCTCACTCACCTCCTTGAAACCCAGGGTCATTTTGGCCCTAGTCTCAGACCCTCCAGAGTACCGTAGCAGGGTAGAGTAGCGACAATTGGTGGGAACTCGGTGTCTACGTCAAAGGAGTGAGAGGAGTGATTTCGAAGGGCCACACGTAACGACAAGTGCTGGAGTTGGTGGAAATGTGTATGGTCCTCTTTGACACAATGTGTACGTGTTTTGAAAAACCGCACTGTACCCCACAAATACGTACAACTATTATATGCCAATTAGAAATGATTATTATTTTAAAAAAAGCAATTCACCTTGACTGAGCAGGGCAGGAGTACTTCCTGGAGGAAGTAATGCATGAGTTGAACTGTGGGGAGGAGAATGGGCCTCCTGAAGGGTGCGGCTGGAGGTTACAGCAAGTCAAAGAACTGGAGGACGCTCAGGGAGAGACTGGGGAGGAGCCCAAGGAACTTTATAGGGATATAGTCTGACGTTATTGCCTTGCTAGAATGACATGATCACTTTGCATTTTAGAAATACTTTGCCGTTGAGGCCAGCAGATGATATGGTGGTTAAGGTGCTGGACTCCCACATGGTCGACTGTGGTTCAAGTCCTGGACCTGGTATCCTGAAAACCACTCCAGGTGCATGTGCATGCATGCCCAAAATCCCAGGAGGAGAATGGATGAGAAGGAATTGTGGCATAGCCATCCCCCCTAGGGGATGATTTCTCACTTTGCCTCCTACCACCTCTCTGTCTATCTGGTGAGCGCACGTGCTTATGGCAAAAAGAAAAGAAAAAGAAAAACTTCGCCACAGTGTGAGGACAGCAGGGCCATCAGGGAAGTGGTGTCCTAATACAGGGTCTTAATCTGAGCACAAGTTATCTAGTAATCATGAAAGGGTTAAACTTCCTACAGGCTACACACACGCACACACACGCACACACACACACACACACACACACACACACGCACACATGGAAAGCTATGTAACAGTAGTCAGGAAGTTCTCCATTGGTGGGAAATTCCTCGCTGTATGGGGCGAAGTTGTTCCACTGTTCATTGCCTTCGTTTGCTCATCTCTGAAGTGCGGTTAGTCCCGATCGGTACTTCCGGGTGTTGTCAGGGGCACTGAGCTGAGCACTGTGAGCACTCCCTCAGCGGGAGTTGGTCCAACTAAGGGGGAGAGAAGGGATTCTAGAGATTTCTTTTTAAACAATTATCTATTTAATTTTATTTATTATTATTTTTAAATTTTACTATAGGGCACACGTGCTCACCAGAGAGAGCGAGGGAAAGTGAGTAGCAAGCTGCCAGGTCCAGGACTCGAACAGTGTTCAGCTGTGTAGGAGTCCAGTGCCTCAATGGATTCTAGAAATTTTTTTAAAAAAGAATTATTAATTTAATTTTATTTATTATTATTTTTAAATTTTACTATAGGGCACACGTGCTCACCAGAGAGAGCGAGGGAAAGTGAGTAGCAAGCTGCCAGGTCCAGGACTCGAACAGTGTTCAGCTGTGTAGGAGTCCAGTGCCTCAATGGATTCTAGAAATTTTTTTAAAAAAGAATTATTAATTTAATTTTATTTATTATTATTTTTTAAAAATTTGCTATAAGGCACATGTGCTCACCAGAGAGAGAAAAGAGAAAGTGAGGAATTAAGCTGCCAGGTCCAGGACTTGAACAATGTTCAGCCGTGTGGGAGTGCAGTGCCGTGCCCCAACCTCCATGCCACCTGCTGGCCCCCTGGAGAAGTGAAGAAGGAGGTACCTGGCAGAGACTTGGCAGGACTTCATGGGGAGTAGCAGGAAGCAAAGGTGTGAATGGAGATTAAGTCAGCGCCTGAACAAAGTAGTGCTTTTTTGTTTGTTTTGTTAAGTGAATAAACATTCTGGGTGTAAGATAAATGAAA